AGCCCCAGCCGCTCACGGCTTCCAGGAACACTCCTCAAGTATTTGGGTTTTCCAATTCAATATGTTTGGCATCCTGGTGCCTGCCCCGTGATTCAGGTATTGAGGTTGGCTCTGCAGCCGTGCGTGCTGGAGAAAGCACACGCCAAGAGCTCCGAGGACCCTCAGGGGGGAGCGACGCCGCCTGGCTCGTAAACCACCCTTCTGCTTGGGAGAACATGGATCAAATGGGACCGGAGCACTGGTGCTGGGGTCCTGGTGGGTTTCCACTCTCCAAATTTCATATGGTCTGCAAGGAAAGGAGAGGGAAGCAAGTCCTTGAGCAGCAACTCCTACCCTTAGTGTGAGGAATGAAGACAGGACGGCTGCAGCATTGCCCAGTCCTGGGTGCTGCACTTTCTTCTCTCACCTTCCTGACCACTCAACCAGACCACAGCGAGAAGAGCAGAGGAACAGCCACGGCCAATGCGAGAGCAGCAGCCACAGAAACCCACATTGCTGAATCCAAACCAGCACAATGCAGAAGGACAGAGCACGTACCGGGGGTAAAAACCTGCCGGCCAAACCGGCCCAGCCCAGCCTGCCGGGACCTGAGACTTTAAAGCAGGGATGACGCTAGAGCCGATCTAGGCACGGCACTTTGTCACTCCTGAACAGAGGAGCTCACCAGGAGTCCCCTCCATGCTCCCACATTAATCTTTGGGCGAATCCAGAAGGCATACATTCAATATTGGCACTTCCAACTAAAGGCCTATGATCCAGGCTACTCATCTGGCACCTACAAGCTTCTCACTTGAATTTGGAAGGACAACAGCGATGCCCAAAGGATAAAACAAACCACCTCCTTTTATAAAGCTCTGTGGTCTCCAAACAGCTGAAATGGGATGCTAGACTGCTCTGCCAAGCACTAAATGCTGGGACAAGCCCTTCCTTCCCAACAAACCCTGCTATCAACCAATGGCCACACTGCTTCCAGGAGAAGAGAACAGAGAGATCAAATCCACCTCTGGAGCATCGGAACCGCCTGCAGCCTTTGCACGTTCCAGGTGCACGTTCAGCTCACAACAGCTGACAAACCTCAAGCCTGTCTCTACGACAGCAGCTCCTGTTGAGAATGGCCAAACCTCTCCTGCTGGGGGGAGGATTAAACACCAAGCGCTTCACTAGCCAGACATCTGTGCTGGAGGGGCGAGAGCAGCCAGGGTACCACCCTCTGCAGGACCCCAGTGATCAGCCCTGCTCAGAGGAAAACAGGGTCTGAAGTATAAACCTCAGGAGAGAGCAGAAAGATGGTTTTCAGCTGGAGACAGAAGACCAGCAGCTTTGAGTACCGTATTTCCAAGGTGCAGAACCGCTTTAGAGCTTGACCTCAGGATAATGAGAACAAGATGATGTCACTTTGAGTTTAGCACTACCGATCTGTGAAACACCTCCCTCCACCACCCGTACTGTGCCACAGACTGGAGGCAGCTTTCCGGCACCCCTTTCCCATCACTGCAGCTCAGGGAAGGCTGCTGGGATAACCTGGCATCCCAGGCTTTCTCCTAGGGAATGCTCTGGCCTCCCCAGGTTCCGCATCCAGCTTCTCACGAAACAGCCAATATGCACAACCAGACCGAAAAGCTCAACCGTACCGCCTTGGACCCACAGCAACAGCATCCCCTCTCCTGGACATGGCCTCAAGGGCACAGCCATGACACTAACCACGGAAGAATGCAACCAGCAGGAAGCCAGGATCCAGGACAAGAGCAAGACACCAAATGGGATTGTCCAGGGGGCTCTGTGGGAAGCCGTGGATGTCTCCGAGTCCCCTGTGCTGCCGACACATGGGAATGAGGCCAGTATCACCACAGAGATCACACCGACAAGAGACCTGCAACTGATAGACCAAGTATAACAACAAGAGACCAGGGATAAGAGCAGCTTCCTGGCTCAGCTTGTAGGGTAGAGCTTGTCCTCTCTGCTGGTCAAGTCAGGATGAGGGCTGCGCTCTCCTCCGTGCCATGAAAAGATGCCCGGCTTTCGATCATGTGAGTTAAGCTCATCATTTCTCTGTTGGGCCAAACCATTCCTCAGTACCAGGTACTTCTTTGGATCTATTTAGAGCCCCAGTGTAGAGCCGGGCAGCGGGGTGGGCAGCGAGCCCAGGTCCGTATCCCACCGAGCCTTTCAGCACGTGCTGCTTTCCAGCTTTGTGCCCAGCTTCGCATGCGGCAGCGCACAGTACAAACGCAGGAACACCTCAACGCTGGTCGGACACCTTCAGGATGAAGCCTCAAGTTAGCATCACAACAAGAGGTACTCTGCAGCATCCTTGCCCACCCGCCAGTCCCAGTTTTCTACTGGTAATCCAGACACTGGATAACTTCACAACTGGTACGCAGGTACTAGTTTTAAAACCACAGACGTGTGTATTAGGTATCATATAAAATATGGTACATCTTTCATGTGGGAATGGTTTCTATAGATAGTGTATTTCAGCACAAGGAAGATGCATGTTCCAAGGGGGCCTGGAGAACGCGGCTGTGTTCTCCATCATGTAGAATACTTACACAGGACGCTTGTGAGGAGACAGCGCTGCTCTTTGCCATCCGCACCCCCACGCCCCTCGGCTGAGCTCTGCAGAGATCACAGGAAGCACCACCGCTGCCCAAGCAGCCCCTTGCACAAAGCTACTACCTCTTTGGTTTTCTTTGAGCTGATTTGAGCCAGAGCCTGACACCACCAGTGCCAAAATCTCATCCTCAACTGAGCTGGGCCCTGAAGGCTGAGAAGCAGCAATGCGTGATGTCCACGGGCCATCGTGGGCAACTCGCCCTGCTCCCCCTGAGCTTTCTCCAGGTCTGAGGTGAGGGCAAAGGGCCATATCCTGAGACTCCTACTCTTGCCAGCTCCACCTGCACAAAAAGGCACTTAAAGAAAAGAAGAAGAAAAAAATAACCCTGCGATGAGGAAAAGGAGAGTAAGCCCAGGAGAACAGAGGAGGAACAGAACAGCGAGCACAACATGAATGAGTGGCTGACCCCTCTTCCAACAGGGCCCAAGAACTGCACGCCTTGAGCGGCCAGCTCCAGCTGCCCTGCACAGGTCTTGGTATCATCCCATCCCTACTCAGATCGGAGCAGGAGTGTGTGTGGGGGGCAAAAAGAGCATGAGAGGGCACCACACATGACTACAGGTTCAGAGCAGAGGTGGAGAGCGGTGGAATTCAGAACCTGTCCCATGGAGCTCACTCTGCTGGTGCAACTGGATGGGGGAAGCACCTTGTCCTGCCACGCCAGCCTTGGGGGCCCTGCTCCCCAGCCAGCCCGGACACCCTGCCAGCATCCCTCATCCCCCTGCAGGATACCCTGTCCTGAGCTCCTCTGGGGCAGGGGCCTTCAGCTGCACCCAGATTTCACGGAGTGGACAAGCTGGGAATAAAACAACAAGCTCTTTGTAAACTCTGGAGGGTCTGAGCTTGGAGTCTACAGAGAAGCCAAGGTTGGTTTGCTAAGCCCACCCTGAGCCCCTCTCCACTCAGAACTAGCGTGCTTCGTATGATCTCCACGTCACCAGAGTCAGTCTCATTTGGAGAAAGATTCTCATTGGAAAGCAAGAACATTCCTTCACTCTTTACAAAGATTTGGCAATACACAGAAAAAAAAAAATAAAATCATAGTTACAACAGATTCAGGTTCATTTCATTTAAAGGAAATTCAACCAACAGGAGTGTAAAAGTTATAATTCACAGTTGTGCATTTAAGATATTAGTGTTGAAAACCTCACTTCAAAGAACTCTTGTGCAAAATTGTATTGACAGTAGAAACCATGGCTAGATGCCCTCCCAGCCTCCCCCGGCCAACAGGCCATTGTCCACCCCCCTGCCTGCACCCGGAGGCAGACGGATGAGGGCAACAAAGGTGGCAGTAGGAGTTGACAAAGGAAGATGCAGTATCCTTTCTACGAGTCAAAGCCTTGCCGAGGTCTGAGGTCAAGTCCAACGATTCCCAAAGCCACCAGCTGGTGCTCTGTGCCACAGCGATGACCGGCAGCCATGCCACACGTCCTCATGGCACCGCGGCACAGCATCTGGCATCTGAGCCCACCCGAATGCAGGCAGGCAGCTGAGGAAGCAGACCTGCTCCGGCAGCACACCCCCTCCGAGGGCACAGACTCAGACGCCACGGCATTTCCATTGCAGTCGGAACAGCCAAGCCCCGGAGCCAGCAAACGCCATCCGGAGGCTCAGAAGTGATCCCGAGCACTGGGCTCTTCTGCTTGTGATGGTTCCCACCACAAGGGCTGGGAACCCCGTGCATTTGTTAAACAGTAAAACTGTAAATACCCTGAGAACAGGGAGACTGGATTTTTTCCCCCTCCGGAGAGAGGATCATGCTTTGCTCTTCAAGCTAATTAGTAGTAGCAGCTCCTAACCCCTCTGGGTCAGGTACATATTTTCCGTATGAAACACATCTATAATCAACTATTTTTATGGAAATTATTTCACTTTCCATTATTGGATCTGTACAAATGATGAAAAACAGTCATGCAAAAAATTGCCTGCAAATTTTGGAACAGTGCAGCATGGGCAGAAGCAGGAGGTATTTGCTTTGGGATCACATGGCTTTGGTTGGAAAAATTGGCTTTTTTTTTTTTTTTTTTTTTTTTTTAAAGAAAACATACAAAAAAACAAATCCACCCCCTGCCACAAGAAGTAGAAGTCAGACCCAGCGAGCAACCTCATCCCAGAGAGAGCGAGCTGCCTTGACATGAGCCTTCCCTCCTTCGGCAGGTTTGACAAAACGGATACTGCATCTCAAGTTCACCACCGCGTCAAACACTTCCGACAAACTTTTACATTCAGCAACACTAGATAAAAACTGGCGAGGCGAGTCCCTCGCTGAGGACAAACACTGTGACATCTCAACATTTTGCTTGGCAAGAAAGGTGCAATATTGGCAGCTCTCCGGGAAGGAGCAGGGTTTAGGTCAGCCCATGCTGATGCTGAGCCGTGTGCGCTCGGCAGTGGTGGGCTGGTGTGCATCAGAGCGAGGATGGAGACTAAGGAAACGCTTTTAGATGGGACTCAAAAAAAGTTAATAAAAAGGTAAATGTGAGAGTAAGGTTTTGGGGGCCTCATTTCCTCCTCACTGGGTGCACAAGTTGTACAGGCTGACAGAGTTGGGGTTGTCCAGCCTGGAGAGAAGAGAAGGCACCGGGGAGACCTTATAGCAGCCTTCCAGTATCTGAAGGGGGCCTACAGGAAAGCTGAAGAGGGACTTTTTGCAAGGGAATGTAGAGATAGGATGAGGGGAAATGGCTTCAAACTGTAAGAGGGTAGACTTAGATTAGATATCAGGAAGAAATTTTTCACTGTGATGGTGGTGAGGCATTGAAACAGGTTGCTCAAAGGAAGTTGTGGATGCTCCATCCCTGGAGGTGTTCAAGGCCAGGCTGGATAGGGCTTTGAGCAACCTGCTCTAGTGGGAGATGTCCCTGCCCATGGCAGGGGGGTTGGAACTAAATGATCTTTAAGGTCCCTTCCAACCTAAACCATTCTGTGATGCTGTGATTCTATGACACTGTGCAATTTCTATGCCCCCTTGTGGGGACTTCATCCTCACGGGTGGCTCCAAGGAAGAGGTGCACCTTTCCCATGGGGGAGGACAGCAGAAGTTAGGGCTGCTTTCTGAAGCCAGGAGAGAGAAGAGGACAGACACACACGGACCCAATCAGCTCTGACACCAGACGCTCCAATTCCCTGCGGGGAGATCCTGCAGCAAAATATTGCACCTTTCCAGCCACCATTCACAGAGGCGGACCATGGGAACTTGTGGCCAGTGCCTTCCCCAGCCTGCGAGCAGGAGAGACGGGGCAGGCATGCAGGCACAGAGAGCTCTGGCAGTTGCATTTGGGGCTGGGGGCTTCTTTGAGGGCCAGATGAGATTATCCAGGTGTAAAGAAAGGAAGAGAAACGCTACATAGCCAGGGGCCACGGAAGGGTCTTGAAACAGAGAAACCACAGTGCCTGATTTATTAATTACTCCAGATAATGAAGGCAACATTCACATTTTGTTTGAGACAGCACTGGAAGGGGAAAGGATTGGGTGAAGACGACTTTTTTTTCATTTGAGGGCTTAGACTCCATCTGTGTGACTGGGGAATGTGTGATGCACATCTGCCACAGGGTGCCTCTTGCTTGCACCCAGTCTGCTTTCAGGTTTTTGGGGTGGAGGAATTGGTTTCTGCTGCCCAACGCAGGGTGCTCTGCACTAGCGGCAGCTGGGTGCTCTCTGCTGGGAGCTCTCTGCTCTGCTACCATGGTAATCCCAAAAATGGCTGTTAAAAGGGGCAAGAGAGAAGGAAATGCACTAAATCCACTCAAAGGAAGGAATGTGGCTGGGAACAGCCTGGAAATGAACCTCTCCGAATCCCTGAAGTGCAATACACTCGCGTCCGGAAAGTTTTGTCAGTTCTTGGAGTGGAGAGGATGGTCCCGACTCCTCAGCAGAGCCCATCCTTGCACTGGCAAAGGTTTAATGTCACCTGGAGGATGTACTCTGGGCGTAATTGTAGCAGCATCTTTTGTGTTAATACTAGAGACTGAAGTGGGGACGGGGACTGATGTTCTCTGTTATTTAACAAAGACTGCACATCTGCTCTGGCTGAGGGAAAGCTGCGCAAACCACTACAGCACACGAGTGCTTAAAAGCTTGTCATTTTGGGGTGCGCACATTACTTTACCATGGAATCGCCAGGAACATTAATGAAAAATCACCCGGTTACTTCACTATGGAAAATTACACCCAGCTTTCATTTCAGGAGACTGCAGTTTTGCTAATTAACTCCTTTCCCCCCCCAGCATCATCTTCAACATACACGAAGTTTTTGGAGGTTACAAAACTGTAAGTGTAAAAATGCTTTTGCCTGTTTTATAAAGAAACCTTCTGAAATTTGATTGATCATTAAATACCAAAGTAACAACTCCTTCCCTGAAACTTAACTATAAGAACGTAGTAATACTCATCCCTTGGCCCTCCAGGTGTCTGAAACCAGAGGTTCCTTGGAGCTTGCTCGTTCTTAGGACACAAATAACATACAAGTACCAGTTACTAACTTCTTCAACAGGGCAACAAAAAGGACCAGAGAGAGGTGAAAAGAGGCCTAAGGACACCGGAGCCAATTCACAAAACCACGACAGAGCCCATTTGAGGTTCGGGAGGGACAGAAACAATTTAAAACTCTGCAAAATACTTTTTAAAAACATGATCTCTCTTGAAAAAATAACTGGAGGAGCTTTTAAACTTCTCCACATGTGTTTGAGGAGGAAAAACCCAACAAGGATCAAAAATACAGATAAAAAATAAACATGATTCTACTTTGCAAGAAGTATTTTCATCGTTCTCAAGGGTGGCTCACCATTCCCAAAGTACGCTTGGGGCTTTAGTCTCTCTTGCTCTTTGCTCCTTTCTTCCTGTTTCTTCCTCTTCTGCTCCCAGAACGGACGCAAAAGTCTTTGGTCTCAGAACACTGGATGCAGCACAGTGTTGCAAGCACATACTAACGGTGTTCACACTCGGGGAGGAGGCAGGAAGGAGCGAGGGCTGGTCCTGCTGAGGAGATGGGATGGGTGGGCTGTGGGGAGTCAGCTCCTAGATGGCTCCTTCACTGTGCATACTGTGGTTG